TAAAATAGGCATGGCATGGGTAGCACAGGTGGGATTGGAGGTAACTCAAACTATGGGATTGACAAGAGAAGAAGGGAGTCTGGAACATGCATGGTATAGGCCCTGTCTGCAAAGGCTGTGTAGGTTGACTGTCAACACCCATTACAGAGACTGAGGACTTAATATAGTGGCCTGAAAACTCAGGAAGAACACTATGCATAACTTCTATGTCCGCAAGTACAGAGGATATGTTACCTGAGACTGCCAGTGGGACTTGGGGCTCTGAGAAGGACACCTTAATAGAGAGCTGTGGACCCCAGGCTCCATCAGTCTTCAGCAGCAAGTTTGAGTAGATCAGTCAGCAATGAATCCGGTGATGATGAGATCTCCTATGAGGGCAAGGAGTTAGAGGATGGCTTACCTGCTCTCTGGTGGTGAGGACAGTTGCTCTTCCAATGGCCCTTGAGACTGCAATAGGAGCAAGACCCCAGAAAAACACAGGAAAGGGGTTGAGGCACTCTCTTGCCCAGTGTCCTTCTTTGTTATACTTGAAGCATGGTCCAGGAGGGGCTCAGGCAGCTCCACCTTGTGTTGGTTTACCTGTTTCAGAGTTCAAGTGTCACTGCTAAAAGATCCGATTGTTATTTTTCCTTTTGATTTTTATCTCTGTTATTGAAAACATGAACAGCCATATTAAGAAAGTCTCCCTATGGGATTTGAGGGCCAAGTTTAGCACTTTATCTTGGGATCTGGCCCACAATGGAAGGTATCATCTGTCTCCTCCACAGTCACAAGACATCTGGCTTTTGACTTCTGGGAGAACATGGCAGACAAATAACAGCAGCCATGGAGGCTCTCTGAGATTACCAGTTTAGAATATAGGAGCGGAGCTGTGTGAGGAGTCCTAAGCGAGGGGAGATGTACCCTGCCGACCCAGGAATGAACTAAGCTGAGAGAAACCAACTGGAAATGCAATCCTGATGCTATAACAGGAACAGATAAAATCTCAGTGCGGAAGCTGGATCCTGCGCCATTGGAAGCTGTGATTTGAATTTCCTGCTGCCCATACTGCATCCCAATCCGCACGGCAGGGAGAGAGACGTGCAAAAGCTCTGAAAGCTAGAATCGGCGAACCAGACGGTGTTGAGAGTGGGACTGGCAGGGAGCCCTGCATTGACCTGCAATGAGTGAGAGAAATGGGGACCCTTTCATAGACTAGGAGGCTCCAACAGAGGACATTCTGGGAATGGGCAGACTAGCCGGAATAGGGCCCTGCAGTGCTTTAGTCGCATATTCCCCTCTCGAGTGGGAGTGGTGGGGAGGGCTTGGCCTGGTGACGTCACAGACTAAGATCCAGTAGGCTAGCCCAAATCAGGTCCCTGTGCGTGGTGGTGCACCCTAGCAGTGAAGCATTCAGTAGGTTGACCTGGAGGGGCAGGCCTAGCACAGACTGCCCAGGTCTGTGTCTCCCTAGTACACTGCAGTGGGTGGGAACACCTAGCTGGCAGATTCAAACAAACTGTAACAGACAAAGAGAAAAAAAAAAACTGGGCCTCCTACGGACACTTGTATGGAAGGAACAAAAAGTATGGGAAAAGGGAGCAACAAGAAAGGGTCCTCAGTCCCCAATCCTGAGAACACTGATTCAGGAAACATAAATGCAAAAGAGAATGAAGACAGAAAACATGCAATATCAAACATGGCGCCTATAGACATAAAGTGGTATCTCTGGAGCCTCATAGACGAGTTCAAAAATGAAGTATTTAATGAAATAAAGCAAGAAATAAGTACAATAGTTAGAGAAATGCTAAGCACTGCCCAAGAAAAAACAGATGGTGGAATAGAAGAACAGAAAAAAAGGGGAGAATTGTTTGATGGAGAAAATAGAGAAAACATAGAATACGTGAAGCAGGTTCAAAGAGATTATTGGGAAACTAAAAACGCTATTGAAAGCTGCCCATAACAGTTTGAAAGAAACTAAGGATAGATTATCAGAACTGGAGGACAGATTTGTAAGGTGGGAGCATGAAATGAAAAACTTCTTAAAAATAACAAAAAAAAACAGCATACATAATACAAAGACTAGAAGATGATAAGAGGATCTATAACTTAAGAATTAAGAACATAAAAGAAGAAGTAGGGATTCAAACAAATGAACTACAAATGCTATTCACAGAAATAATCCAGGAGAATTTCCCTAATTTAGCAAAAGGTAAAGATACTCAGATGTATGAGGCATACAGGACCCTAGCCACCTACAACCCAAACAGAAATACACCCAGGCATATAATAATCAAAATTCCAGAAATCCAATATAAGAACAGAATATTAAAAGCCATCAAAGAAAAGAAACAGATCACATACAAGGGAACACCCATCAGAATTATAGCAGACTTCTCAGCACAAACCATCAAATCACGAAGAGCATGGGGGGAAATAATTCAAGCTTTGAAAGACAATAACCTCCAGCCAAGATTGATATATCCTGCACAACTGTCCCTAGAAATTGATGGAAAAACAAGGTGCTTCCAGGATAAAGAGGAACTACGGGAATTTGCAACCACCAATTCAACTCTACAGAGATTACTGCAGGATATTCAAAAAATGAAAAATACCAAGATTCCAGAAACAGTGGCAGAGAGGCCACAATGAATGGAGCAGAAAGCGAAATGAAGAGGACAAACTGACAACTAATGACAGAAAAAGAGCTCAACAGAAATGAGGCAGAGAAGGTTGGATGGTAGGAACAGCCATTTTGGAGAAAACAAGACATCATAATAGCTAGTGCTGATTTAATATCCTCTTGTTTTGAAGTCCCATCAAGCTTTTGTTCTTCTGTCTCCATTGGTTTTAATGTGTTGTATCTTATTGGATTTTATTATATGTGATAATATAAACAAAAACTTTTATAGACAAGGAGATATTATACAGAAACCATTGTTCATTTTCTGTTAGTTGATTCTAAATACCCTGTAATACTGTCATTCTCTTGAATGGTTTTACATTGTCTTGATATGTTTGATGCTATAGTATACGAAGTTATACCCAAAGATTTTAAGGGAAGAGACACTATGGTAACTACTATTATGTTGAGATTATCTTGTGGTGAAACACTATTTTGCTTAAATGGCTATGTTTTGACCTGCGCTGTTTTGTTGTTATGCCCTCTTTTTTTATCTCAATCTCCTTTTTCTTGTCTACTTTTTCATTTTTATCCTTTTAATTAAGGGAAAAATAAAAAATAGCAGGATATATTATAGTAACCCACTTTGATTTCCTATTAACTTGATTTGAAACTCTGTATTGCTCTCACCATCTTGTTTTGACTGATTTTCCTCTATTGTGTTATGCTTGATAGTGCCAAGTTTGAAAGTATAGGCAACAACTATGAAGACAATAAGATTCATTGTGATGCCCATTCTGGTTGACTATTATCTTCTTTTGAAGTCCTCTAATGTCTCCAATGTTTTGGTTTTATTGGTCTTATTCTTTATTGTTTTGTTCAATTTATTATAACTGATGATATAGGCAATTCTTTTTAAGATAACAAGAGGCATTATGGTAACCATTGTTGATCACCTTGTGTTTTGTTTTCACATTATGTATTATGTCCATCCTTTTGATTTGACTGATTCTGTCCTGTTATGTCACATTTGGTTTTACTTTCTTCAATAAAAAAGTAATAAGAACTGTGGGAGCAATAAGGCCCAAAATGTGTAATTGTCATTGTACAAAAGAAAGGAAAAGAAAGTTCTCTAAAAGATATAACTGCATATATATTTAAGTGTATAAGATAGATAGCCATATTACTGAGTTTTGTTGGATTATTGAACAAAATTGCAGTCTCACTGTTTGAAAGTCTCCTCTATATGCTTTAATTTTGTAACTTGAACAACTGTTTCTAAGATGACAATATGTAATTAACTAGTGATTTCCTACTGTTTATTTTTTCTGAAATTCTGTATAACTTGTACCCTTTTTCTGTTTTTTTTTTTCCTTTTTTCTCCTTAAATAAAATTTTAAAAAAAAGATCTGTTTTTTATCTTGGGTAGGTGTACAGCTGTAAGTCTAAAGAAAACAAAGCTAAAGAATCAATTAAGTATGTAAGAGTCAAATAATACAATCAACAGGGTATTTATGATTATAACTTTCGTAATGGCTTCCCACAAGGAGCTGGGGAAGAAGCAGGAAGTGGTAGGCATTCCTGCTTTGGCCTTCTGCCTCATTAGACCACCACCCTAATCTCTACTGAGGCAAAACCCTTTCAGATAATAGGTAGATAATATCTACCTTTTTAATATCTTAAGTGTGCAATATAGTGGCATTGAGTAATTCACAATGTCTTGCAAACTTTGCCATAATGCATTTCCAGAAATTTCTCAACACCCCAAACAAATTTTGTACCATTAATCAATGGGTATATGACTTCTTATCTCTCCCTCCTCAAGCACCTGGTAACCTCTGATCTGTCTTTTATCCATGTGAAATAGTTCATGTAAGTAGGGCAATGTGACACATGTCCTTGTGCACCTGGCTTATTTTTCACTCTCGCCATGGGTTGCATTGGTGGTGGTAGATTAAAATTAGCTTACTGGGATTCCAATAACGTCTCAATGGGATTACAAATATAACTTTTTGGATTGTGAGGAAAACTAGAAAGAGGATTACAATACTTGGACGACTGAACTCGGTATTTGGGTTTACAATACATATTTTAAGTGATCTGGAAATGATCAGAAGTGTGTGGAAGGAAGCACATAAATAATATGCAAACATATCTTTTTACATAAGGGATTAGAGCACACTACAGTTTTTGATACCTACTGGGGTCCTAGAACCAACTCTCTTCAAATACCAAGAGGCACATATATATGCTACATTTTAAAAACCATTCTATGTTGCTGACCTTTAGGTTCTTTGAACCTTTTGACTATTGTGAATAAAGCTGCTATTATTCCTGGTGTGGAAGTATCTGCTTGAGTCCCTGATTATCATTCTTTTATTTGGTTATATTCCCACAGCCAGGAATCCAGGAACCCAGGAATTGCTGGATCATAGGGTAAGTCTTTAATTTTTGGTATAGCAGCCAACCTACCTTCCACTCTGGCTACACTATTTTACATTTGCACTCTCACTACACAAGAGTTCCAATTTCTCCCTACCTTTGCCAACACTGTTATTGTTCCTTTTTGTTAATAACCATCCACATGGAAATGAAGTGATATTTCTCTTTTTCTTTATGCTGTTACCATATACCAGCCCACTGACATTTATTGCCTGGTTTTCTAAGGTAAGTAGCCCAAGTATAATTTCTCTTCACATAGCCAAAGCAGTGTGTAGTTTTCAAAAATACTTTACTAAATAGGAAGGAGAACAAAACAGAAAACTTCAAAGATACAAAAAGCATTACTATGGTTTGGATCAAAAATATCTTCCCAAAGCCCACATTATTCAGAAGTAGAACTTTCAGAAGGTGCATGGATAATGGGCTGATGTGGTGTTGGAGGAAGTAGGCCCCTCAGGGCATAACCCAGAAGGGCATATCAAGTCTCTTTGTTTCCTCCAGCCCCCTCTTTGTCCCTGCTGCTATGAGGTGAGCACTTTGCTCTACCATCCCCTTCCACCATGATGTTTCTGCCTTGGAGGCAGCTGACTATGAACTGAAGCCTCTGAAACTGTGAACCAAAAGAAACCCTCCCTCCTTTAAATTGCAGGTATCAGGCATTTTGTTACAGATATGAAAGGCTGATTAATAGAAGTATAAGAAGTTTAGCTTATAGAAGATCTTAGTTTATAAACTTGCTTGGAAAACAGGCCCTGCCACAGTCACCTCCTGCTTCCCCAGCCCACAGAAAATGAAACAACCAGCGAGGCTTATGATATGGATCCAATTCCCTGGTCCTGTGACCACGAGAAGACATCACCAAGTGCCCATAGGGCTCAGCCTCTCAGGCACATTGTGTCACTTACTTTGTGGCTAAGCATGGTTTTAATTTAGTTGGCTCTCAGAGGTCCACCGTCACAGACACCTACCTAAAATTCTCCTGCCATCACATATGTGATACTGTGTCACCACAAGCCCAAAAGTAATGGGACCAAGCTGCCATAGACTGACTCCTTTGAGAGCATGAGTCAGAACAAACCTTTCCTTGTTACAAGTTGTTTGTCTCAGGTATTTTTGTTATCTGTGGAAATATAACAGGTTTTTAATATCAATTTGCTACTTCCAGGGGAATGAACACAGCCTTCTCTGGCAGGGCTGACAGGAACTAAATCAGGATACACACAGTATTTGAGAGCTGGAAATATGATGATAGGAAGCAAGATAGTATATTAATCACTTTCTCATCCGTGGAATGAAGTACCTACTTTAAAGGAGGAGACTCAGTTTCCAGTGGGTTTGGTCAGCTGGGCCCAAGTCAGAAACAATATGGTAAAGGGGCTGGCTGGGGAAAGCTGCTCACACCATGGTCACCAAGAAGAGAATGAGTCATGCCCCCCCAGTAGCCCACCTACAACTGTACCCCACCTCCTAACAGTACGTTCAGTCATGAATTTATCAATGGTTTAACCCACTGATGAGTATGCTACCCCATGATCTCGTCACCTTATAACACAAGAGACTTTGGGAGGACATTTTAGATCTAAACCATAACAGATAGCAAGGTCACTATGTGGCTACCTGAACTTCACTTATGGCCCAGTCATTTTCTGTGGTCTCTCAAGAAAGTTTCTCAAGCCCTTTCCTAGAGAATCCTTTCCTTCTTTTGCAAAATAAGAATAATAGTAACAGCTACATCACGGCCTTTGTGAAAAAATAAAGTAGATATTTTACCAAAAGCATTTAGAACATTTTGGTCAAAGAATAATGTTCCACCCTGCTCCCAAAAACCCAATTCTCTGTTATTGATATTCTTTCAAAATCTTAGAATTCTTGCTCTGAAGCCTAGGATTTTTATTGACAGGATTTTGGCCTGTCATCCCTAACTCTCAGAAAGCACTGATGAGACTATACATGAGTAGGCATAAATAGAGAGAGGAATAAAAATGTTCAGATTGGTTTGACACAAAGACAATTCTCCTTTAGTAATTACAGGGCTATAAAAAGAATTAGTGCTGTGTTAGCCTTCTCAACACATTTCCAGAAGAACTTGGCTTAAGGATGAATTACAGTACAGATGAGCACTGGCTACCCTCGAAGCTCCATTGCCTGTCCCTATGGAAGTTTCAGGGCTGAATGCATCTTTTTTGGCAGCAAGAAAATTTGCCAAGCAAGAATGTGAAAATCAGAATTGCCAAGAATGAAACAAAAGCAGACACATTTCACCATTACATCAAGGTTGAGCTTTACAGCTGTTGTCCTCTCTGAATGAAAACACTGGCCCCTGGGTAGAAAAAAAATGGAATGTAATTATTGCTGGGGGGGGTGGCAACGAAAAATTGTAATGCAAAACATGATGGATGCTGTTTTGTCAATCGAAACTGCTGGAATGCGGCAGTAGAGCGAAGCGACATAATAACTCTTTCTTCTTGGCCAATCTGGCAGGCGAAAATACAGCGAGATACCACATTTTTTTGTGTGTTTCTTTTCTCCGTGTAATTATGTCAGGTTTGTAGAATGGATTGTAGAGTTATCAGTCATGAAAATAAAGCGGATACACCATATTGAAGTAAAAAGCTACAGTTCTGTTGAGTAGAGATTTCTTTTTGCTGACATGTGTTTTACAAATTACAAGGAGATCTTCTCTTCAGGTCATTTACAGGATGACCAACTGTCCATCTTTGTATTCATGCCTTCTGGGTAATGTGGATTTTATTTACATCAAGTCAGAGCTAATCACATATTAAATCATGATTTATGTCACAGTTAGGAAGTCTCAACTGAAAGCATTAATCAAGAAGACTCGATTTGCTGTGTGTATTACAGAGAGAATGGTCTGTCAGGGAATGAACAAATTCTCCTCATGTAGGTAGATGGTGAAAGGAATATTTTAATTTCATATGTTTTCAGAAATAAGAAATCTGAGTGATGATTCAAATATTTTAACAACTAATTTGAGGACCATTCCTGAAATAATTTTAATTTTAATTAATGAGGGATTAATCCTTTTTAAGAGATGACCATGAATATAAAGAGAATACATTCACATGCCATAATAAAAATAACTGACACCCCAAAGAAGATGTCTCTGAACTATATATTTAGCAAAAAGAAAAAAAATCATATATAAAATGTGCAGATGTGTGTTCAACAAGCACCTTTGGTGTCCAATGCAGGATAAAGTGGCAGCTGAAAGACTGAGGAATAGAAACCATTTAGGACATCATTTTATTGGCCCAGGAGCCAGCTGAGGGGCCCTTGACCCTGCGCCATGGCAGTCAGTTGGAAACAAGGCACTATCCTTGCTGGACAAAGACAAAAGATGTCAGAGTGAACATTTGCCTGACGTTGAAAATGATCTTTAGATGGAAGATCAGATAGGTTGTTTACATGGACGGCTATGAGACTAATATTTTGTTTGCAATATCATTGTTCTTTATTAAGAGTTAATGCTGCATTTAAAAGTCAGATCACTATTACCATACTTAAAGATTTAAAGTTTCAACCCTTTATCAGTACAGTGGTTACTGGAGTTTTTGTAACTTTGTGATAAGTCTTTTATTAATTCATTTAGAACAGCGGAGTAGTTTTTTAAGAAAAAGTAACTATATTTTTTTGTGTATAAATTATTCACAGGTTATATGGTTAGATATTTTTTAAAATTTTTTAATTTATTTTTTTATTTAAGGAGAAGAAAAAAAAGCAGAAAAAGGGTACAAGTTATACAGAATTTCAGAAAAAAAAATAAATAGTAGGAAATCACTAGTTAATGGATTACATATTGTCATCTTAGAAATATTTGTTCAAGTTACAAGATTAAAGCATATAAAGTGGACATTCAAAAAGCGAGACTGCAAACAGTTCTGTTCAATGATCCAACAAAACTCAGTAATATCATTGTCTATCTTATACACTTAAATTTACATGCAGTTATACCATTTAGAGCACTTTCTTTTCCTCTCTTTTGTACAATGACTATTACAATTGGGTTTTATTGCTCCCACAGTTCTTACTGCTTTTTTTGGAAGAGAGTAAAAGCAAATGTGACTTAACAGAACAGAATCGGTTAACTCAAAAGGATGGACATAATAGATAATGTAAAAACATAATACAAGGTGATCAACAATGGTTACCATAATGCCTCCCGCTATCTCTAATAGAATTGCCTATATCATCAGTTATAATAAAACTGAACAAAACAGTAAAGAACGAAACCAACAAAACCAAAACATTGGAAACATTACAGGTCTTCAAAAGTAGATAATACTCAACCAGTATGGGTGTCATAATGAATCCCACTATCTTCACAGCTGTTGCCTAAACTTTCAAACCTGGTACTATTAAGCAAAGCAGAATAGAGGAACATCAGTCAAAACAAGATGGTGAGAGCAATACAGGGCTTCAAATCAAGTTAATAGAATATCAAAGTGAGTTACTATAATATATCCTGCTTTTTAAAAATTTATTTTTCCTTTAATTAAAAGGATAAAAATAAAAAAGTAAATAATAAAATGGAGATTGAGATAAAAGAGGGCATAACAACTAAACAGTGCAGATCAATATATAATCATTTAAGCAAATTAGTGTTTCACCACAAGATAATCCCGACATAAAAGTAGTTACCATATTGTCTCTTTCCTTAAGATCTTTGAGTATAACTTCGTATACTGTAGCATCAAATATATCAACACAATGTATAACCATTCAAGAGAATGACAGTATTATAGGGTATTCAGAATCAACTAACAGATAATGAACTATGGTTTCTGTATAATCTCCTTGTCTATAAAAGTTTTTGTTTATACTGTCACATATAATAAAATCCAATAAGATACAACATGTTAAGACCTATGGAGACAGAAGAACAAAAGCTTGATGGGACTTCAAAATAAGATGATACCAAATCAGCACTACCTATTACGATGTCATTTTCTCCTGTTAGATGATAGCTGTTCCTATCATCCAATCTTCTCTGCCTCATTTCTCTTGAGCTCTTTTTCTGTCATTAGTTGTCAGCTTGTCTTCTTCATTTTGTTTTCTGCTCCATTCATTGTGGCCTCTCTGCCACTATTTCTGGATTCTTCGTATTTTTCTTTTTTAGAATATCCTGCAGTATTGTCTGTAGAGTTGAATTGGTGGTTGCAAATTCCCTAGTTCCTCTTTATCCTGGAAGCACCTTGTTTTTCCATCAATTTCTAGGGACAGTTGTGCAGGATATATCAATCTTGGCTGGAGGTTATTATCTTTCAAAGCTTGAATTATTTCCCCCCATGCTCTTCGTGATTTGATGGTTTGTGCCGAGAAGTCTGCTGTAATTCTGATGGGTGTTCCCTTGTAAGTGATCTGTTTTTTGTCTCTGATAGCTTTTAATATTCTGTTCTTATATTGGATTTCTGAAATTTTGATTATTATATGCCTGGGTGTAGCTCTATTTGGGTTGTAGGTAGCTTGGAGTCCTGTATGCCTCATATATCTGAGTATCTTTACTGATTGCTAAATTAGGGAAATTCTCTTGGATTATTTCTGTGAGTAGCTTTTGTAGTCCATTTGTTTGTGTCCCCACTTCTTCTCTTATGTTCTTATTTCTTAAGTTATAGATCCTATCATCTTCTAGTTTTTGTATTGTTGCTGTTTGTTTTTTTGTTATTTTTAAGAAGTTTTTCATTTCATGCTCCCATATTACAAATCTGCTCTCCAGTTCAGATAATCTGTCCTTAGTTTCTTTCAAGCTGTTATGCCAGTTTTCAATAGAGTTTTTAGTTTCCTGGTAATCTCTTTGAACCTGCTTCACGTATTCTACATGTTCTCTATTTTCTCCATCAAATAATTCTCCCCTTTTTTTCTGTTCTTCCATTCCACCATCTGCTTTTTCTTGGGTGGTGCTTAGCATTTCTCTGACTATTCTGCTTATGTCTTGCTTCAGGTCATTAATAACTTCATTCCTGAACTCATCTATGAGGCTTTGGAGATAGCCTTTTATGTCTATTGGTGGCATGTCTGCTATTGCCTGTTTCTCAGGATTGGGGGTCGAGGAGCTTTTCTTATTGCTCCCTCTTCCTATATTCTTTGTTCCTTATATATGCAAGCATATATAGGAGGCCCAGCTTCCTTCCCTGTTGGCCACAGTCTGACTGAATTGCGCCGGCTAGGTGTTCCCACCCACCGCAGTGCACCAGGGAGTTACAGACCAGGCAGTCTATGAGGGACCCACCCCTCCAGGTCAACCTAACGAAAGGCCTCACGGCTAGGGTGCACTTTCAGGTGCTGGGATCTGGCTTGTGCTAGCCTATTGGGTCTCAGCCAGCAGTGTCATGTAGGCTAGGCACTGCTCACCAATCCCACTTGAGAGGGGGATATGTGACTGAAGTCACTACAGCTCCCTGTCCAGCAAGTCTGCCTGGTCCCAGAATGTCCCTGTTGGCGCCTCCTAGACCGTGGCAGAATCCCAGTTTCCCTCACACACCGCAGGTCGATACACGGCTCCCCACCCAGCTTTTAACTCCATTCACCAGTTCCTGTTCTCAGCACTTTCACGTGTCTCTCTCCCTGCCGAGCCGATTCAGATGCAGCTGTGGTGGCAGGAAACCCAAATCGTGGCTTTCAATGGCGCGGGCTCCAGCTTCCACACTCAGGCTTTATCTGTTCCTGTTATAGCACCAGGATTGCATTCCCAGTTGGTATCTCTCAGCCCAGTTCGTTCTTGGGTCAGCAGGGTATATCCCCTCTTGGTTAGGATTCCTCCCTCTGCACCATTCCTGGATAAGCTGGGTCTCGGGGAGAGCCTGCATAGCTGCTGCTATCTATCCGCCATGTTCTCTGGATTCTCTCATATGGTTAGATATTTTTGCATATATAACATTACAGGGAAAAACTGAAGATCTAAAGAAGTAGAAAAATATATGATGATTATGAGTTGGCAGTGTTGATGTAATTAAAATGTCATTTTCCCTAAATTGATTTACAGATTTAATCTGATTTCAGTCAAAATCTCGGCAGTCTTTTGTGACAAAAATTGCTAAATGAATTCTGACACTTATATAAAATAGAAAGAACATACAGCTCTAAAAGAACCTTGAAAAAGTAGAGTGAGTCTGTAGAACTCACACAGTCTGATCCCAGGACATACCAGAAAACTAAAGCAATCAAGAGACATTATGGCATTGATGTGGGAATGGCAAATGGGTTACCTGAGTCCACAAATAGATTCACAACCAGCCATGTTCTACAGTAGTCAGACATTGAGAAATGTGTCACTGGATACTTTTGTTCTTGTGTGAGCATCACTGAGTATATTTATAAACACTAAGATGGCTAGGGGATGCTACAGAGGATAGTTTGCTAGGCAATATCACCTTATAGGGTCACCATCATATATGTGATCTGTCATTATCTAAAATATCACTATGTGACTGTAGCCAATTGGGTTTTCAATAATGGCCCTGGAACCTAATTTTTTTAAATAGGTAAAGACTTACAGACACTTCAAAAAGAATTATGAATGATCAACAAGCAAATTGAGAAATGCTCTTATCATCAGTTGCCAGAGAACTGCAAATTGAAAGCAAGATGAGGCTCCCTCCCTCTAGGCTCGATACAGTGACTAATAGTAAACAGACTGTCAAAATTGAGTGTTGGCTTGATGTAGGGCTGTTAGAACGCTTATGGGCTAAGCACAATGGTGTATCCTATAATCCTCAGAAGGCTGAAGTAGGGGAATCCTAAATTTGAGTTCAGCCTAGGCAACTTAGTGAGACCATATCTCAAAATAAAAAATAAGAAGAACTAGAGATGTAGCTCAGTGATAGATCTGGGTTCTATCCTCAATACCTTCCCCACCAGAAAAGAAGAGAACTCTCACATATTACTTGTGAGAACATAAGTGGCACAACCTTTTAGGAGATTAGTGATTTCCTATGAAGTTAAATGTATACCTACCCAGAAATTCCTCTTGGTTTTATTCAAGGGAAACAAAAATACTGTATATGTTCATAAGAAGACTTCTACAATTTGAATGTGGAATTCATTCCAAATTGTGTTGAAGTCTAGGTCCCTATTTGATGGCTCTCCTGGGAGGTGACAGATGGAGCCTTGAGGGAGGGGGAGGCAGGGGATGTCTTCAAAAGGCGCTGGAGACTCTGGTCTCTTTCTCCTGTCCTTCACTGCCAGGTAAATGGTTTTGCTCTGTGTAAACCTGCCTTGATGTGTAGCTTTCCCTACAGATTGTGGGCTGGACCCTCACATCTGGGAACCAAAATAGGTTTATGTCTTGTTGCAGCCAATTATCTCAAATATCTGGTACAGTAAAAGAAAGCTGACTCACACAGAAACACACACTAAATACTGTAGTGCCTTGGTTCATGAACTTAATTTATCCTATGATTCTGGAAAAGATGGACACATTTGCATTTGTGTGAGAAAGATGGCCACAGTCATGTTTGTCACCTGATGCAGAATTTGCTAACAAAAACAAATTTTTCCAGTGTTTCTGTGTGTGAACAAAAAATATTTGTGAACCAAAGTACCACTTGTACAAAATTGAGCAACACAAATGTCCAGTAATAGGAAAAGATATACACAGTTTATAGACCACAATAACACAGTGGAACAGACTACTAATATGTTTTGGTCTCAAGAACTCATAGTGAACACAAGGATGCACTGCGTGACTGTGCAGCTCTAGGACAGGTGAAGTAATTTGTAGTGGCCAAATCAGAGCAGGATCACCTGGAGCGAAAGTGGGCTGGAAGTGGGTGTGTTGGAATGTTCCAGAGTGATAGAGATGTTGGATTGAATGTTGGTTACATGGGTGTCAATATTTATCCAAATGTATTAAATTGCATATTAAGATCTATGTATTTCACTGTATATAAATTTTACTTCAACAAAAAATTGAAAATTCCCACTGAAATCATAGTTTCCTCTAATATTTACAAAGTAAAGTCCTTTAAAAATATTCCCATGTAATATTGTACATTAATAATTCAGGAGCACTAATAGCTACAATTTCACAGATCAGAACTAACAACATCTAAACTGCATTTCAAGGAAAATTTGTCACTTTTATTCTTAATCATTTGTAATCCTAGGTCAGTAGTTTCGTTATCATGTAGACTTTAAGCAGCTGCTTTTCCCCACTGTTATGTCCAGAGCTTCATAAGGAAAGGAGCACCTAAAAGTTCTCTTGGTCATTTCTGATCATTGAGGTCCTATTTCCACTCCTTCCTGGACCTCTTTCTAGGCTTTGCTTCATTTCCCTTTGCATACCACTTCTTTCTCAGAGAACCGGCAAAATCTTTGCATCCCATATCACTGAGTTGGGGTTCTATGTCGAGCCCATTCAATTACATTTCAAGCAGTTTATTGTCACAGCGCAACACATCAATGGCGAATGTGTCCCTGGGAGCTTGTCCTCATTTTTTAATGCTTGTTGTCCGGCATCTAGCTACAGAGCTGGGCTCCCTCCTCCTTCATTTAACTTTTGCTCATTCCTCGCTCGCTTGTTACAACCTGCAGCTCTTGTTTTGCAGTTTCTCTTCTCCCCTGTGCAGACTCCCAAGCCTGACTTTCAGTATGTCAAAGGTCCTCTGAGGCATTATGCTCAGATTCCAGACAGAGGTTTGAAACTAACACATTTTCTCCCTTTCACCTACTTCTACACAGAGAGAGATAGGGAAAATGCTCACAAATATGTTCTTCAACTTGAAGAAAGTGGGTGGAAAATGTAACCATGTAGCTCTGGAGAGAGAAAGGAAAATCTAACACATCTACCACATTACAGGAGGGGCCATTGTCTGGGTTCTGCTGTGTGGAGAAAATGACTGAAAGCCCACAGGAGGGGAACACATTGCTATGAGGCTGGCTGTCCTGACGGAACTCGGTAAGTGTCAGCTGGCTAACTACCCTAAGCACCCAAACCCTATACCCTCAAGTTACATAAAACCCAACAAAAACAGCTCAGTCCACAGATTGTGGCTCAGAGGAGAAGACAAATAAGTGTCAGTTCAAGTGGGAAAAGATCAGGGAGAAATTTTTTCTCCCACTAGCAGGGCAAATACCACCAAAGCAGGCACAAGATGAAAAGAGATGGCCTGCAAGTGTGCACATCCATAAGAACACCAGTGTGTAAGGCACTGCATGGAAACAGAAGTCAAAAGAACTCAGTCTGGGGAAAGACACAACCTAAGGAATAGAAGAAGACTTCTCCCTGTGTTTCATGATATGGGAGGACTAAAAATAACTTATGAGACTGATTCAGTGCTGAGGTGATACAGTGATATAACAAAAAGGGATGAAAAGAAAAGCTGAAGACAAAGCAAAAACAGTAAGACTCTGTTATGGCCAGATTCCCCCCACACCTAGCCAAAAAAAAAAAAAAAACCCTCATGCACTCATAGGTGGGGAGTTTTGGAGGTGTAGGGTGTGTGCTAATGGGATCAAGGATGTGACGCTGGGACAGATTTACAGTGCAAAACTAGGATTAAGGGTATGAGTGCTACCTACCCTTAGGCTGGGTGACCTGGATGAAATACAGAAGGCAGAAAGAGGTCTTCTGAGGTCATCGCTTGCTTGCTTACTGCTTTCTGCCTGTCCTGCTTTGCCGTGGACTATTTCTCCTCTGTGATATCTCTCTGCCATGCCACTATGCCTTGGAGCCTGCCAATTATAGACTGAGACTTGTACAAACTGTGAGCTAAATAAACCTTTCCTCCTTTAACTTTGAGTGTCAGATATTTTGTCTCAGCGATGAGAAAATTAACTAAAACAGACTCCAAGGGCTATTATAGGTCTAAAAAATAATTTAGGTCAAGAATTGAAATATATAAGCGTGATGAGTTTTCTGATCTCAGAAAAGGTTTCAGATACAAAAATTTCAGAGGAGAAATACAAGAAGACTAAAGCAATTAAAGAAAAATGATAGATTTGAAGAAAAGACAAAGATAGACAAAGACAAGTATAATTAGAGTCCTTCAAATACATAACTCAAGACATTGAACAGAAAGACTACTAACAGGTGTATTAGAGTTAAAGATTCCTGTAACAGAGGAATCAAAATCTCAAAGTACAAAACATTCCTTAGATCTGGTTAAATTATTGAACTATAAAACTAAAGACGTCAGACATTACATAGATAAACAAGTATTTTTTTTTTCTTGAGACAAGTTCTCACTGTATAGTTCAGTCTGGTCTTAAACTCACTATGTAGCCCAGGCTGGCCTCAAACTCAAGGTACTCCTCCTGCCTCAGCCTCCCAAGTACTGGGATTACAGGTGTGCCCACCATGTCTGGGAACAAGTACTTTTTTTTCTTTTTGAGACAGGGTTTCACAACGCAGTTCAGGCTGGCCCTGAGCTCACGTTGTAGCCCAGGTTGGTCTTGCACTCGCAATGATCTTCCTGCCTCAACCTCCTGAGTGCTGAGTTACAGACGTGTGCCACAACACCCAGCTAACAAGTATTTTTTAAGGGACAAAAATCAACCTTGGATTTCTCTATAACAGCATTGAACGCTAGTAAACATTGCAGGAGAGTAAACATTGGTAAAGTTTGTAGGGAAGAAAATACTATTCCAGAAACTTATAGCCAGCCAAACAGTTCCCCTGGCAAAGAGAAGAAACAGGAAGTTAAACTTAACCGTGAAAAGACCCAAGCAACAGTGCACATGAGACTTCCTATTTTTAAAAAACTTCTTGGTGATAAATATGACCAACAATAAGATTCAAATTTCTTTTTAATTCAGCAATAGAGAAAAGACAGTAAAAAGACCTGTATTGTATCATATTTACAAAGGAATGTTAAAGTAATATAAAAGGCCTAAACAACAGAAAAATATTTATTGAACTAAACGTAAATATTAGGATACTTGACAGAATAAGAAAAACAAAATATAGCTCATAAAGTTCTGGTAAAGCAGGACAGGCAGAAAGCAAGTGAGGACCGTGGAAGACCTCTTTCTGCCCTCTGTATTTTGTTTAAGGAGAGGAGTATAAGAATACAAATCTCATTCCATACTAGGTAGTCAATAATTTTTTCCAAAACTGAGATAATGTAAATAAAAATATATAAAGAACCTAGCTGTCTAATTGCTCTATAACCTTTTAAATTTTAAGGGCCATCTTATGATTAAAAACCATTTCTCTAATATCAGGTTTTTACTCTTTTGTCAAAGTTAAACATTAAATAGCCTTCAAAAAATATATATACATTCTATATATGTCTGTCTGATGATACTCATTTGGTGTTTAAGACTGTTTTCTTTTCTTCCTTGGTGGGATTCCGTAAGGTATTGTGTTTTTATTTTTGCTTCTATTTAAAAACTTTTCCTATGGTTCTTATTTCTTTCACTTTATGAAAACTGTGGTAATTTTTTGAAATAAATATGGGAATGATTCATGCAGTTTAGAGAAGGCAAAGTGAAGTAAGTTGCACTAACAGAGTAGGACTTTTCCAGGTCACTGCAGGAATTAAATCAGTGTGTTACTAACAGAGGGGCGGGTGGAACAGGAGCAGACTGGAAAGACTGGAGTCCATAAACTGACTTGTGTTTACATGGGAATTTGGTGCATATTCAATCTGACTTATTAAATCAATGGAAACAGTTGAGTATGGCAGCACATACCTATAATCCCAGAACTCTTTAAGAGGCTGAGGCAGGAGGATAGGAAGTTTGAGGCAAGCCTGAGCAACTTGGTGACTCAACGAAACCCTGTCTCAGTGCAAAGGCCCTAGATTCAATCCTTACTACCAAAAAAAAAAAAAAAAAGTGGGAGAATTATTTAATAAATGCTGTTAGTAAAAAAGCTTAGATGTTTAAAAAATAAGTTCTAAACAAGCTTCTAATGCTTCAAAGTTTTAAAAAGGGGCCATCACAGTGTCACATGCTTATAATACCAGTATTTGGAAGGCTGAGACAGGAGGATTGCTGTGAATTTGAGGCCTGTTTAGACTACATAGTATGTTCAAGGCCAGTCTAAACTATATAGCAAGACCCTGACTCAAAAATCTATATAAAAAACAAACAAACAAGCAAAACAAAGCTTTAAGAAGGGGAAATAAGAAATTATAAATGATATCAGAGTAGGAAAGGAGAATCATTATAAAACCTAAAGAAGAAAATTAAAATATTAAAATTGGTTACTTGAAACTTTAAATGTATGTGAAAAACCACCAGAAAAAAGATTAAAACAAAATGTGATGTGGGGAAATTTTTCATCACATGGTTAATAGGCAATTATTTAACATCCTTTATAAATTAAGAACTTGTCATTTAATAAAATGCATAAATGACAAGGACAGATAAATCACAAGAAAAAACAAAAGTAGTTCAAATGAACAGTTTCATTTTACTTGTAAATGTACATATTTAAAAACAGTGTAATTCCAACTTGGTTTGCTTTCCTATAGTCAACTTGGAAATTTAAAAACTAGATAAAACTCAATGTATGTGAAGTTTAGGCAGTGTGCAATTTTCTACACTTAAAGTGACACAATATTTTCTTGCAGGACAATTTGGCAGCATAGCATATCAAAAACCTACAAGCCCTTATATGCCACAATTTCACTTTTAGGAACTAAAGCTTAAGAAATAGTTGAGTAATGGGGCTGGGGATTTAGCTCAGCAGGCATAAGCGCCTGCCTTGCAATCATGTGGTCGTGAGTTCGATCCCTGGTACTGATAAAAAAAAAAAAAGAAAGAAAGAAATAGTTGAGTATTGTGCAAGAGAAAAAAATTACAGCAATGCCCATGGTGATTGAGAATGTCTCCTTCCCAAGTCTTCATAAAAACTCCTCTAACTGCCTCCTGCCCCATCCTCCACAAGAGATAAGGGCACGTGCAAACTTACTCTTTTCACTTTTCCCTCAACGTACGTTGTGTGTATGAAATAAAAATGACAGGAGTCCATTGTCTTGGACTGAACTCCTGCACAGACCAAGATAGCATCACTCATGCTGTTTCATGGCTCTAGGATGAAACCAAACTGTGTATCTGACCTTCCTTCCAGATATCTGATTAGTGAAACAGCTGAATTTTCCAACGATGTGATTGTGAGTTTCAGCTAACATGGTCATGACTTTCTCTGTGCCCAAAGAATTAGCCTGCAGTGACCTACCAGTAACCTATCGGTTATTTCCCTATTGTTCTGTCTCCGTATTCTTCCCTTAAAAGAAAAGCAGCTTTCAAGTGTCTACACAGCCCGTTCAACCTCTCTGAGGGGTAGAGTTCTGCTCTTTCTTTATCTTATCTTTACATCTCATGGAGCTGAACTCTCACCAGCATTTGCTTGCCTCTGAGCTCTTGTTAATAAGGAATCTTCCACAGCCCTTGGAGTCTTCTGGTTAGAAGACCCTGATTACTGGACCACTGGGCTGAAGGGAACATTGTAAAAGTATTGCAATGGGTGTTTAGGTTTTCCAGATCATACAGCCAGCAAGAGTCTGTGTTACAAATACTCAGCTGCAGTTTGAAAGCAGCCATTGCAAAATGTATCTAAATGAGCATGGTGTGGCAGTGTTCCAGTAAAACTTTACTTATGGGCGCTGAAATCCGGATTTCACATACTTTCATATGGTACAAATTAGCTTTCTTTTTTATCTTTTTCCAAATCATGAAAAAGCCATTCATAGTTTTTACACTATTCAGAAATAAGTGGAGAACTGGACCTGATCTGTGCCTGTGCTTTGCCAATCCCTGCTCTGGACCAACAGAGAAGCCTCAGTGTAGCTCTCTTATAGGTCAAGAGGTCCTCTCCAGTGTATTTAGCTTGTTTATTCTGAGCATCCTCCCCACCCCTCGCCATTAGCATCATCTTTGGTTCCCAGAAAATGGATTGTTTTCCAACAGAAAAGTAAATAAAAGGTAAGATTGCATGTAAGGTTATTT